ATACTACATTACACTTAAAATACTGCATTACATATAAGATACTACATGTAAAATACTACATTACATATAAGATACTGCATTACATGTAAGATACTGCATGTAAAATACTACATTACATATAAGATACTGCATTACATGTAAGATACTGCATGTAAAATACTACATTACATGTAAAATACTGCATTACATATAAAATACATGTAAAATACTAAATTACATATAAAATACTACATATAAAAACATCACATGATGTAATCAGGTGGTTTCCATCTGAAGTCAAACGATGTTTGAAGGTTAATTTTGCTCGTTAACGACTTCATTAATTGAACTTCCTGTTGGACCTGGAACATGTTTTAGTTCTTTTCTAAGATAAATTTTTGCACAGACCTCCAGAGTTTGCAGCTCAGACAGAGTCCAGGTCCTGCTGGTTCAGGTCCAGGTCTAGGTGCTGGTCCTGACACCAGCTGTTCCAGGTCTGTAAGCCGATCCAGAGGGAGGAAGAGCAGCTCTGCATCTTTAATGATCATTCATCATTGATGGCAGCAGAACAATCCTCCGGACGTTCTGTCCATTAGAACCCCCCTCAGGGTTCAGGCTGGGGGGTCCCCTGCAGCGGCCCACCCCACATCTGATCATGACCAGAGGGCTTCAGGTGGAGCTCTCCAGGTGAGCCTGCAGGTGCAGATGGCGGGGACAGGTGGAGAAGTGGACCTCGGAGGGTCCTGGCACCGCGGGGTCGTCCAGAGGAACACCCCCCTGCTGTCCGGTTCTGTGCTGCCCGGGAACGGATCCYGGACCCCACTGAGGTTACCGTCTCTGAGCAGAGGGTCCCGCAGGCGCAGCGGCATGGCTCGTCTCAGGTACTGAAACTAAAGATTTACTTATAAAACCTGAGGTTCAGAAATACATCTGGAAAATAAATATATCTGGAAAAAGGTTTTTATTTTGATTTTATATCAATTTGTAGTTCTTGAAAATATTTTTGTATTTGTTTACATAAATGATCCAGTTTAGCAGCTTCTAATACATAAAGTAGTTTATGTAGTAATATGTAGTTTAATTTATTTAAACCTTTATTGGTACTTTTGGGAACAATTTGCTACAAAAACACATTTTTTTGTCCAATCCAGGCTGAGAATCTGTCCCAAAGATGTTGCAGGACTCAGTAAACATCAGAGTTTTAAAGTAACTAAGTACAAATACTTTGTTACTGTACTCAAATAGTATTTTTGGGTTACAGTACTTTACCTGACTAATTATTTTCAGCCTACATTTTACTACTTCTTACATTTTCACACAGTTATCTGTACTTTTTACTTCTTACATTTT